CCATCAGATGTAGAAGATGTTGGAGGTTCCTCTCAGTCTTCTCTGGTGGATTCTTGGTTCTGCTGAGTGACGCCACATTGTTGTTTTTCACAGGATTTCTTGAACACTTTCTGTTTGGTCCATTTTCAGATGAGACCTTCAGAACAAAGTGATTCAGACGAAGAATCTCACATTTCAGCTCAGATTGTTGAGTTTCCATGAATCATAATCGTCCTATAATGATTATAAAACAGCTGAAACGTTCAAACTCTCTGGCTGATGGTTTTTTGAAAGCCTGCCGCTGGGTTTGGAGTTCAGAGAGTTGAGAACATTGAGTGAAACACTTGTGAGACTCAACAGTTCTAGCTTTGCATATGTTGGACAGGATTACTAACTGCAGGCCAAATGCTTTGCATTCCACTCATATAATAGAATAATTCATCCTGCTCCACCACATGCCCTCATGAGGCCGTATTATTGTAGCCGGAGCTGCCAGTGTGTGCATGTGAGCTGTGCACGTTTTGTTTCCCTGCTGTATAGAAGTATCTGTGGTATTGTCATGTTATGTGCTGAGGTGTCATTACATCATAGAGGGCAGCCAGGACTCGTGTTGACCAGCCAGACCTGAGCTCAGGCCTCCAGCCGCCAGCAGACACTCGGCCTGCCGCTTCACTGAAGGTCTCTGGACGCTGGACGATACTCACGAGGAGACTCAGTCCACCACAGGACTTAAAAACCACCAAACCAACAGCATCTATCCTCTAGAAACCGTCAAACTGTCGGGTTTCCACTGAAAATGAACCAAATCTGAGCTTAAACGTGTTTTATTTCATCCAAATCACTTTTTTTCTGAATGTCTCATTTAAAAGATTAAATGAACAGATTCTGTAAAAAGCAGAAGTTCTGTGGTCCTCAGATCAGCAGGAATGTGCAAAAAATACAGAGTTTTGCTCAACAAACTGTAATTTTAACACTTTTTGCATTGGATCACTAAAAAGTCACACAGACACACCGTCTGTAAAAACCAAACATATCTGCTTCCTGGTGGAATCAAGAAAACGTTTTTATTTGATTTTATTCTGTTGGTCGAACAGAGGAAAACATCTGAACCCAACACTTTTCATTTCAGCTTTTTAAATGTGACAATCTTCAGTATTTCACTATTTCATGTACTTGAGAGCGTTTTCTGAATTTGTCCTTTTGCTCGAACAAAACATCAGTTCAGAAATCGCTTTAACGAGGTAAAATGATTTGTTTGTAAGCAGCGCATTCTTCTGCATTTTGCTTCAGAAATTACTGAGAAGTTGATCAAAATTAAGCTTAAAATTCTGATTATTTCATTAAAATCACTTGAAGCCTCATCTATTCATTCATTATTTATTTGTTTCCAGCTTTTTAAATGTGAGGATTTACAGGATCTCTCCTTTTGTCTACATAATGTAAGATTTTTTAAATGCAGTTTTATCTTTTTGAACAGTTAGTGGATCATAATTATCTCTCCAAAGCATCCAGAGCACATTTTATGGTCCTAAAATAATTGGATTTGTCCAAACAGGAAAGTGTTCAGTGAGGACGCATAAAAACTGAAACATGTCTTCTGCATTTATTGTTCTTAAAATATTATATTTAAAATGATAGAATTAAAAATAAAACTTTCTTAAAAATGACATTTCATTGATCGTAGTAGCTGCTCGTTATTTGCAGCTGCAGCTTGTGAGGAACTTTTCACATTTTGTGCTCAAGTCGTTCCCACAGATTGTTGTTCAGTCCCTGAGAGCTGAAGCTGGTTCCGACCCACTCGTCCCAGTCTGGTCACTGGTTGTTGTCATCGTCTACGTGCACCACAGAGTTTACGGAGCCAAACAAAAGCTGAAAAAGATGAAAGAAGCTGCGACACAAAGGAAGTTTCTCAGATTTCATGGACTATCAGTCAGTCCTCTAACAGGAGGCTTCCTGGTCAAACACCAAACTGGGATTTTCCAGTTTGGTTTGCGACGTGCTGGTGAGGATGTGGGTGAGCTTCAGAGCGGGATGCTGATGGAGGAGCTCCACAGTGGGAGTAAATGAACGCAGCTGGATCAGGCTTTCTGCAGCCTGCTGTCGCCTCCGGCCTCCTACTACTGATTCATGCTCACGCTACTACCAGTGCACTCTGCTGACCCACATCGTGCACACACGGGGGGAGGGGGCGGGGCTTCTGTGGCAGGAAGTGGCGATCACATGACAGTCCCATGTTGTTGCCATGAGGGCACTGAGTTCACTCGCTGTGGTTAGTTGGACAGCAACTGGGAAATATTTAACCTGAGAGAGACCAAAAATAAACACAGATTATCAGGACAGGAAGCAGGTTTACTGAGTAAACCAGGAACATGTGAAGGATATTAGCAGCAGCAACAATCTACAGCAAGTTAGAGTTACAGAGAACGTTTATTTGAGCAATAAGATCTGTGTGCTGACCTTCAGGTTTTAAGATTTTGATGCATTAAAATCCAGATTAGTGATTTTTTTTCATTAACATCCATTTTCAAAAATATTTATTTGTTAAAATCCTTATTTTTTAAATTGTTGAGCACTGAGGAGCCTGTTTTTGTCCACGTTTTTGACACTTTTTAAAAATGTTATTAACCAGGTTTTCACAATGTTTGTTCATTAATAATCAGTTTTTGGAGACTTTTAAGCATTAAATCTCAAATGATCTTTTTTTGGCGTTGATATCCATATTTGTGATCCTTTTTAGACATTTTGGTCTGTTATATCAAAGTTATTGATACTTCTGTCTGTAAATATCCAGATTATTGATATTCTGACGTGTTAATATCTAGGTTTTTTAAACTTAGCATGCTAATAGAACCTGCGTTTCATCAAAAATAAATCAAAACTTGGCACGGCTGTTAAGATTTTGGAGCTTAACTGTAACAGATTTCACTCAGCTGTTGATCAGAGCATAAAGATCTTTTCTACTTTACAAAGTTCAGGTCTTGGCCTTGAAATAAAAGCAGAAGTTCACTCATGTCATGTTTACCATCAGTCCACCAGTATTTTGCAGTTAAATACAAATTTTGAAAGATGAATTGCTTCTCAAAAAGCTTATTTTTATTCATGACTTTTTAGCAAAAGCAGGCGAAACCTTCAGTGAAGCGGCGACAGCTCCTCCCTTTGGCCAACAGGTGGAACCAGAGGGCTTTTGTCTCAAACGCATGCGCACAAAAGCCCACGAAGAAGAAGCAGCGCGGCTTTGTGTTTCCGGGTCGCGGAGCAGAAACGTCGTGTGAACGGCGCCACCGAGCTGAAAGTTTCTCAGAAAACTCCGCAGCTTGAGAGTTCAGAACCGATAAAACTCGACCGTTCCCGTTTGGCTTCTGCGGCGGACGCGGACAGACGAAGACTACCGACAGGATCCAAGGTTTGTGGCCGTTTTTCTGCAGTTACTCGGTCATGTTGGCGGCTCGGTGCTAACCAGCGCTAGCAGCTAACCGGGAGTTTTGGCGGATGGTGCTGGTTTTAGCTCGCGCTGCTCCGGTTAGCACGTTTATTTAACCGGTTTAGATCAACCGGGACCGTCACCGGCTGACGGGGAGCCGCTGTACACCGACTGAAGTAGAGTTTTAAAGCGTTAAACCGCCGGACGTGTGTGTTGGGGAAGCTAAGTTGCGGATGTCGGAGCGTGCTGGTGCTCAGGGGACCGTGTTTGGGTCCAGTCTCTGGGTTAATCAGGGCGGTTCGGTCCGTGATTAATACGGTCTGCAGAAGCCAACTACTGCTGAGTAAGGCTGTAGCGCCCAGCTTGTGTTAAAGCTCTTTATGTGGCTCAAACTGTCATGAAGACTTGAACAGACGTTGTTCGAATAAAACCTGATGTTTGGATCTTTCTCCTGAAGATGGACGTAGAACCTGAGACCCTGTTGGCTGCTAAGTTCAGTCATCCACCTTCTGTCTGTGCTCTACAGCATTATATAAGTAGTGTGAGCAGGACAGTTAGCTCAGTAAATCACTCTTATTGATGGTGATTTACAGCCATACACACGTTACAAATACCACATTCAGAGTCCTACTGAGCTTCACCTGCTGGCCGGGATGGGAATTAATTTAATAGTGATTTGGATGAGCTACTCCAAATAATTAAGGAGAACCAGTTCGTGTGATGGTGAGGAGAAAGATTTCACTCATAAATCTCATCTAACATCCAACCGATGCAGCTTCTTAAAGGTCTGCAGGTTTAAATGAAACCGGTCCACTTCATATCCAGTGTGAGAATCTGGATCCAGTCGGGGTTCGGTTCAGCCCAGAAATCTTTACATTTTAATCTGATATTTGCACCAATTTCCGGTGAGACGCTGTGTTGTCTGCTGAGTAACGCCGTTCCTCTGTCTGTCTGCTCAGCCAGTGTAGAGCTAAAGTAGAATATCTTTATTTATGGTCATTTACATCCATAAACGTATGAAAGCTGTGCCTTGTGTCTTTATAAGTAGTGTGCCAAATCCACAGAGCAAGACCAACGTTTTCCGTTTTACCAACGATCTGGACTGAGATCGGTTCAAGTTTATAATCGCTCATAATCGTTTAGTAGTTCAGTTAGTTAACAGGAATCTGACAAAACGGTCAAGAGGAGGAGATGCAGGGAGGGGAAATATTTCACTTATTGCCATAAATTCCCAGAACACAACACCTCAGATATAACTAATAATAACCAATCTGTGTGTCTGTGAAGACTCTCAGTCCTCCAGGTCCTGGTTCTTCTGGTAGATTAATAGTAGCAGCTGGACTGATTGAAGATGTTCCACCTTCATCCAAGAGGCTTCATCAGCTCTGACTGACTAGTTGGGAGTTCCACATACTGATATCCTGAAGGAGACGTTAACACCTGAGTTTGGGGTCTGTTGCTCCTCCCCCTCGTTATGTGAGTCGTTAGTGCTCCCCCTGACACACTGGGGTTCGTTAGGGTCTTTGTGGCTCGGTGTGGATGTGGTTTCGTCTTCCTGGGGAGAGATCTGAGGACTGAATTGTAAACAGGTGATGCCTCAGACCTCCACCACTGATGAGGGATGGTCCTTCCAGTTAGATGGCTTCTTTCAGCCCTCTCTCAAACCATCCGTCCTCCCTGCAGGCCAACATCTGTACGTTGTTGTCTTCAGATGAGAGTCCTTTGTCCTTGAGATCCAGGTGGATGCTGAGTCCTGTCCTGAGGAGCTTCTGTGCTGGGCCATGCACTTGTGGAGCGGCTGTTTAGCCTCCCTGATGTACAGGTCTGGGCGTTCCTCATTGCACTGGACTGCCTCCACCACGTTGCTCTGTTTGTGTCTCGGTGTCTTGTCCTTAGAGTGGACCAGCTTCTGACAGAAACTGGTTCACCTCACCTTGCTGTGGACATGTTGAGCTGCATGTCAACAAACTGCATCTTTTAAATGAGGCTGAGAAACTCTTTGTACCCTTAGATCAGAGTTAATATCTGACTGCAGACTTCTTTGGAGATCAGTCACGTTTATCTCTTTGTCCCGAGCAGCAAACTGAGCTGTTGCCTGACATGTTTGAGTTAATTTACCTGAAGTCACACAGGATTGAGACGGTTCTGTTTATTCGGACTTAGAGGCGGATTTTATATTTATTACTTATTGACTCTGTTGCTGTCTTGCTGTCTAACTGATTTTATGCGAGTCCAGTAACCAGACAAATCCCTTGTGTGTGAGCTCACTTGTTAATAAAGCTTTTTCTGATTCTGGTTCTGGTTCTGCAGCTTCCCATTGTGACTGTTGTGGTCGCTGCAGTGTCGGTTCTGAACTGATCTGTTATGATGCATCATGAGGGTTGTACTTTAAAGCTTATAGTCCTTCAGGTAACTGGAGAAGATCTCACTTCTTCCTGTGAGAACCTCTGGTGTAGCTAATGGGCACGAAAGTCTAATTTCCAAATCTAAACAAGGATTCAGACGGACTTAGCACACACAACTCACACATCAGAAACAGTGCGATGATGCTTCTGACGTGCATGATGTTGTGGTTTTTGCGTGTCATGGCTCTTGGCCAGTCTCGTGTCCTGTACTCATGATGTTAAAGTCCATGACGGCGCTGACAGGATGTGAACTGTGATCTTCTGCAGGTTTGGAGGATGTCTCTTCCGAAGCGGGAGGTGGAGGAGCTGAGGCCGTGGGTGGAGCGAACCGTGAAGAAGGTTCTGGGTTTCTCCGAGCCCACCGTGGTCACTGCAGCGCTGCACTGTGTGGGGAAGGGCCTGGACAAGAGGAAGACCACAGGTAGCTCACCTGGATGCTGACGCAGAGGTTCAGGGAAGGCCCAGTTCAGACAAAAAGTCAGCAGACAGCACAAGTCAAGGCCAAAGTTTCACATAAACATTTGTAATTTTTCATATCAGGTCGTCCTTATTAATCCCTGTAACTGGGGAAGTCTTTGGCAGAGGGATGCATGCATCGTAGAAAACAACAATACACACATATACACACATGTAAGTACTGTTGATGTGGGACAGATTCTTCTACAGATATCACTGCTCACATTCCTTCTTCCTTCACATTCTTGTCTTTGTTTGTCACTGATCCCATACGGAGGTTTTAAATGTACAAAATATTCACAAGTCAACATGTTTGAGTGTGTTGATGATAAATGTCTCTGAGTTAGTGCACCAATAAATTCACAGATTCACTCCACTGACATCACCAGATGTTTCAGGTTATTTTACAAGTTGAACCAGCTTAAAGCAGCTGAGTGTTCAGAGACCAGGTGTGTTAGTTCAGGTAGAGGTCCTCTGGTCTGTTAGTTCAGGTAGAGGTCCTCTGGTCTGATAGTGCAGGTAGAGGTCCTCTGGTCTGCTAGTGCAGGTAGAGGTCCTCTGGTCTGTTAGTGCAGGTAGAGGTCCTCTGGTCTGTTAGTGCAGGTAGAGGTCCTCTGGTGGTATTTACTGTAGTGAACTAGAGACTCCTGCTCATCTTCTGACTCTCTCCACCTTCAGACCAGCTGCGTCCGTTCCTCGATGACTCCGCCGGAGGTTTCGTCGAGCGTCTCTTCGAAGCGCTGGAGGAAAGTCGCAGCGCTCGAGGAAACAAAGGAGCAGGAGAGAAGAACCGCAAGAGAGACCTGAAGGTAACCCGACACACTGTTCTGACAGTATAAGTGAATGATCAGACCTGAAGGAGATCCGCTCATCGGCAGGAAATCACACTTTCTACATGATCGGTTCAATGATCAAGACCAACCAGGAGACGAGACTCTAACGCTCTGAACCACAGCTTCTAATCACTGGTTCTGATGTTTGGAAGAAAAAAATTCTGATTTATTCCAATTGATTTAAAAAATATCTAATGAATGAAATATCTTCTTTTTGTTCCCTTAACGCTCACAACAACAAAGATATGCCTCACAGGCAGAACATTTCACTGTTATATCTGCGTTTGATCGGCCAAACTCCGGCCGATGATGATTGTTTTGAAAGGACTGCAATCAGCTAATAAATCTGTCGGGCCTAGAAACGAGTTAAATACTCTTCAGAGGTGCAGTTTGCCTCCGAATGTTCGTCCTTCTCTGTTAACTGAAGACACATCAAGTCAAACTGCTGATCCTCTAATTTATTTGCGATTCTGTTCTGACTGTTTGGACTCAGGATGTGTTCGGGGACGAGGCTGAGCCCGGCGCCTTGCGGGAACCTCCGGAGGCAGGTGGTGGGACGGCGGCGAAGCGAAAACGAGGTCCTCGCTTTGAGGAGGTGGAGGAGCCGGAGGTGATACCTGGACCTCCGGCTGAGAGCCCCGGCATGCTGACCAAGATGCAGGTACACAGCTGTGGGTCCGATCCACCGCAGAGTGATGAGTGTGTCTGAATGAAGTGTCCTGAGCCTCTCCTGTTGCTGCACTAACAGATCAAGCAGATGATGGAAGCCGCCACGAGGCAGATCGAGGAGAGGAAGAAGCAGCTGAGCTTCGCCTCGTCTGTCCCTTCTACAGGAGTAAGCTTCAGTGTTTCTAGAACTTAATCTCTCCATCCTGAAGTCTTCTTTCTGTCTAACTCCACCTCCCGTCCTTCCACAGTCGCAGCTGGACTCCCCTCCAGTGTCGCGGCTCCTCGGCAGCTCAGCTGCAGCCGCCGGCGCCTCCTCCATCGCCCCGTCACAGGCTGCCAGCTTCATGAACGATGCCATCGAGAAGGCTCGCAAGGCCGCCGAGCTGCAGGCCCGCATCCAGTCCCAGTTGGCCATGAAGCCCGGCATACTGGGAGCTCTGGGGAACACTGGGCCTCACAACCTGGTGGCTCTGGCCAACCTGCACGCCATGGGCATCGCTCCACCGTGAGTACATCCGTTCATTACAGCTCGTGGAGGGTCGCTGGGCTCCGGCGTTGTCAGCTCTGGAGGAACTATGGGATATGTTCTATTATTACTGCTGCGTAGACGTTATCCTGCACGTTTACCCTCAGCTCTGCTTCTACTAAACTAAAGCAGGTGTTGACTTATTACTCTGGCCGATATTTAACGTTATTCCCATGATCAGCGTCATTATTAACTTGTGTTCAGATCAGGTGGATTAACTGGTTCTGGTGCAGATTGTAGGGTTTTATTTTTGTTTGTTAATGCAGCAAAAATGATCTTAAAGGAAAAGCTGTGCGTTCAGTTTGTTTTAGAGTAAAGAATGACACAGAGAATACGTTTTTAAAAGTCTGTTCTCGTTCTGTTTAGATTCTTCTCTGAAGCTCTTTTCTCCTGCCAGCCTTGTCGAACCTTCAGGTCTTCTGGTCGCAGAGTTTTAATTCAGCTTACAGTCAGAACACAAACCCACAGCGACGCAGCTTTCTGTTGTTCTGATCCTCGTCTGATCAAACTCAGGATCTGTGTCCAAAGTCTGGCTTTTCATTCATTTAATTGGTTTATTTGTTGTTTTTAATGTCGATTACTCAACAGTTTTTATTGAGTCTCTTGTTTGTAGCGTAATGTTCATGAGGGGATTGTTTCCATCTGGTTTGTGAATCACTTTATTGAAAGTTCTGTCCACTGACTGAACAGTACCAGGAGGACCTGATAGGAGGCTGTTATAGTAGTGGACGGATCAGTGGTGTTGGTAGCAGTAATGGAAACCATCCTTGTCTACAGAAGACAGAAACCATGAGGGTGAAGTTTGTTTGCTCCCTGTGGAAATAAAACCTGCGTTCATCTACAGGAAAGTAGAAGTGAAGGAGGTGAACAAGCCAACACCTCTGATCCTGGACGAGAAAGGACGGACGGTGGACGCCAGCGGCAAAGAGGTGGAGCTCACGCACCGCATGCCGACGCTGAAAGGTTTGTCCGCGGCCATCTGGTAACGTCTCGGCGACGCGCCGTGTTTTCTCCCCGTTCTGGTGTTCTCACACAGCGCTCTGCTCTGCAGCAAACATCCGGGCGGTGAAGAGGGAACAGTTCCGTCAGCAGCTGAAGGAGAAACCCGGAGACGACCTGGAGTCCACGTCCTACTTCGACCAGCGGGTGTCCATCACGCCGGCTCAGCGCGCCCGAAGGAGCTTCAAGTTCCACGACCAGGGGCGCTTCGAGAAGATCGCTCAGAGGATTAGAACCAAGGTGGGTATGGAACCATGTTGCATCAACCTGATTAGCTGATTAAACTCGACTTAAACAAGCCCTCTGTCCCTGAACCAGGCTCAGCTGGAACGCCTTCAGAATGAGATCGCTCAGGCCGCCAAGAAGACGGGAATCCAGGCGTCGACCAAACTGGCTCTGATCGCACCCAAGAAGGAGATCGGAGAGGGAGAGGTTCCCAACATTGAGTGGTGGGACTCATACATCCTGCCCTCCAACGTAGACATGTGAGTGGTTCAGGCTAAACCGTTGCCATGATCACGTGCAGCGTTGCTTTACCAGCGTTACGCTTCACTGTTCTAGTCCTGCTCCAAGTAGGGCAGGCTGATACGGCCAAAAATATTTATCACGATATAAATGACACGAGACAAAATACTTCAAAACTGCACAACTTTATTGGTGCAAATGGAAGTGGGCGGGATGCACAGGCAGGACTTGGCTGCTGGTGCCAGTTTGGGACAGTGGTCGCAGTTCTGTTTCCACCATCAGGTAGCGGCGAGTGGCGGCGAATATTCGGATCTCAAAATTGCTCTCCGGACACCACCACAACGACCGAATACTCTGATATCCGGGTCCGGCCTGTTGCTCTTTTGTTGTATGTACATGTTGCATGCCATTCCACTAGGGGGCGCTAGTACTCCTGTTGCACATGTTGTGGGGGTAGTGAAGTAACGAGGATGCCGGCGGTGATCACAGTGTAGTTGAACATGGCAGTGGCTAAATAAATTAGTTCTGAACTAAACGTGGAGTTGCCTTTGCACTAACACGGCCCTGCTGTGTCAGTCGATGCGCTGCATCCGTCCTCCTCCATGGGCATTAGACCGGACCAAACAATAGGACTGGACCCGAATAGCCGACTATTTGTTTGCTGTGCTGGAATCGGGATATCAAACTTGATCTCCGAATATCCCCGCCGCCGCAGAAACGGAGCCGTCACCGCTAACCTAAACACAGAAACTGGTCTTTGCAGCCAAATGCAGCCTGTGTGTCACGCCCACTCCAGCCCGTCGGAGCCGGACCACAACCCCCCCGTCGGCACAAATACTCACCCGCCACCACCGCGCCGCACCCCCGAATATTCGGGATATTCGCCATTAATTGGGACCGAATGTCCAGAGATCAGAAATGGCTTTTCGGACCAGCCCCACAAAACAACAGCACTGCACGTTGCACTCAAATGTTATTTCAACTTCATATCATCCCAACATTACACCGGTATCACCGTGTACGGTATGATGCGGCCCAGCCCGAGTTCTAGGATCAGATCAGCGTTATTGATCCCTCACCGGGAAGTTCACACGTTACAGCAGCAGGAAACAGATGGAGCTGAAAGAAGCAGGACAGGAAGTCCAAAAGTATAGTTGGGCTGAAAAATAGACCATGTCCAGGTGTGGCAGGATGAACCCAGCCGTAGGACGCACAGGTAGAGCTGTTCCAGATCGATGCAGAGTAGCGGCGCTGCTTCTGTTACTGAGAGAAGGCTCATGTTCACATGTGAGAGATGTCTGGTGTCTTCTTTACTTATGTGTTGTACTTATTACTATTTTATGTCTTTTTTTCTGAGCATCATGTGGCACAAGTTCCTTCAGAATTCAGAGTTCTGTCTTAAACGCAGACTGTGATGTTTGACTGGTGATCTCTGTGGCACAGACATGAATGTATTACTGAAGCTAACCTGCGTGTTCTCCCTTTAATGCCTTTAAGAAACTCCGACACGAAGTTCGAACTGCTGGAGTTGTTTGGTGTCACCAACCTGGTAGAACATCCGGCTCAGATCAGTCCTCCAGGTGAGTCCATGAAAGATGAATGTGTGTTTAAGATGACTGTCCTCAGACAGCACAGCGGGACCTTGTTTGCTCTGTTTACTACTGACAACACAACGTTAGAGAAGGCGTGTGTGACGAGCGTCGGCTGTGCAGGCTGGTTGGTGCAGCATGAAGAAGAACATGTTGAGGAACCCTTGAATACGGGCTCCAGTTGTTCCTTCAGCTTCTTCCAGTAACGGGTCTCAAGTTTTCCTTCAGATTCGTTCTGGAGCCGCTTTAGCACAGACTTGATTTTTCACTTTTTCACTCTTGCAGTAATTCCAAGGTTCCATTCTGGGCGTGTGCACCAGTTGCATTGATGGAAACGTCTCATGACTTAATCCTCTGCTTGGTACACAGACAAAACCCTCCAGCTGCCTGAAACTACCTGAATGGGAAAGCCTGGTCCACCAGGCATCAGTTAAAAAACATACATTTGCAGCAAGTTCGATCATCTACAAAAGTTCAAAGCTTCATTTGGAGCGTGAAGTTTATTTTGCAGTAATGTTTGAGAGCTCTGCCGTCCAGTAGATCCGTTATCCACCGTGTGAAACCTACATGCTGCTCAGCTCTAAACCAAAAAGCATAAAACCTCAGGCTGCAGACGAACCGCTGGAGCTTCGGCTCTGTGATGTGCAAAGATGAACTCAAACGTCATGACACAAAAAGAAAACTTCTCATTTTCCACGGCTGAATCTACCAAAGAGGTTCGTCTGATAGAACCTGATCTGCTCTGACTAAAGGCTTCTTGGAGGGTTCGTGTTTAAAAACTTTATTTAAAGACTGTTTGTTGACTGAGCGAGAAACAGAAAAAAAAGAAGGACTTGGCTGCAAAGCCCAGCATCAGCTGTCGTGCTGCACAGTTAATGTGATGTTAGTCACAATCTGGCTTCACACCATCCAAGCAACACGACTCGTGTTTAAAATGCTCACACAGAAGTCAGGTGAGTCAGAGTCTGGGCTGCAGTGAGGCTTCTCCGTGCACAGCAGCATTCACATCTACATACGTGCATGTGAGGCGTTCAGGGGACGTCTGTACAACGTGCTATCTGTTGGTAAACATGCATTTTGGATGTGTAGCCTGAAGTAGAGGCTCTGACATAAGGTGTTGATCACAACACTGAAGTGAGAGCGGAGCCGTGTTTGTTTAAAGGAGAGGACGATGATAATATGTTGTCTCCAGAGGTAATGGTGATGCCGGTCAGGTACAGAGAAGATCATCAGCAGTAAAGCTCCGTGATGAGGGCAAAGCCAGACTCGATGACATCCAAAGAAAAAACAAACCCCAACAAGTCATTTTTCAGCTTTTTAAAAATCTTCTTGTATTTTTTCTCCAGATGCACTCTCCTACAAAACCAAGCCAGTCATTCTTGAATGATTAATTCTTATATCACAGACACTCCAGAGATCACAGCGCCAGGTGCTGGACCTGATGCAGTGATCCGTCTCTGCAGCCTTCCAGCTGTCCTCGTGTGTTTCTTTCATTGCTGCCGTCACAGTTTGTGTGTTTTCTGCTCCTCAGTCGACACAGACAAGCCGGTAACGCTGGGCGTCTATCTGACCAAGAAAGAACAGAAGAAACTGAGAAGACAAACACGACGGGAGGGTCAGAAAGAAGTTCAGGAGAAGGTCCGTCTTGGACTGATGCCACCACCAGAACCCAAAGGTAGAACCGCAGAACCGCTGCATCTAAAGCCTGTTGCAATGAAACAGAATGTAGACGACGTCTGTTGTGTTTTCTCAGTTCGAATCTCCAACCTGATGAGGGTTTTGGGGACGGAGGCGGTTCAGGATCCCACCAAAGTGGAGGCCCACGTCAGAGCACAGATGGCCAAGAGGCAGAAGTCGGTACCTCCCTTCACCCCTCTGTTTTTACTGAGTCATGTCTTGCACCGGTCCGTGATAAATAATGTCCTCCTCCTTCCCTGCAGGGCTCATGAGGAGGCGAATGCAGCTCGGAAACTCACGGCGGAGCAGAGGAAAGAGAAGAAGGTGAAGAAGTTAAGAGAAGACCTCACAGATGGTGTCTACATCTCAGTGTACAGGTTCGTATGTCGACATGTTGGAGTTCAGACGAACTACAGCAGAGTTCTACGTCTGCTTTAATGCCTTCACCTTCCCTGTGCAGGATCCGGAACCTGCAGAATCCTGCCAAGAAGTTCAAAGTGGAGGCCAACGCCAACCAGCTGTACCTGACGGGAACCGTGGTTCTGCACAAAGACGTGAACCTGGTGGTGGTGGAGGGAGGTAAGAGACGGCGCCGAGTAGAACCGGACACATCGGTCTGCTTAATGAGTCTCTCATATCAGTGTGACGTTTTGACTTCAGATATCAAACGAACATCTTTTTAAAGATCTACTTGTGATCAAATTGGTCAAATGAGATGGAATCTGCCCGTGTCTGTGGAGAACAGTTGTTCCAGTTCAACTAAAACAACTTTCTGTTCGTGTCTGTGACCCAGAGCTTCATCTGAAAGTGTTCTGATGTGTCGTCTGTGTTCCTGTGACCTGCAGCTACATGTGGGTCAGAACACATCACTGGTTCTCTTCTGAAGCATCAGGTTCTAGTTCATGAGCTCAGAGATGGAACTTTTCACTTTTTCACATTATAACTCACCAATAATCAGATGATTGATCTACAGGTTCTGGATCAGTGACAGGATGAGAACTAACAGAACATTCCAGGTTTGATCTTCAATAGTTCCTCAGATGTTGTTCAGACAGACTCAGATTTAAGGAGAGAATAAACCTGCTGGATGTGGGTTAATGGCCAGGTAAAGAACTAAACTAGGTGTCTTAAAGAGGATGAAATCTATCAGAGATGTTCTTGTGATTGTCTGCAGTTCATAAAATCAGACGGAATAACCTGAAACCTTTGGATTGGGAGCCAAACAAGACATTTGTCGTCTTGTAGTTGGTTTTTCACCAGAAAGTGATTTGATTGATTTGGACGTAATGGTTAGTTTCAGCGCTGGTTTGTTATCGGACAGAACGGAGAACCGCTCGGACTTTCCTCTGGAGCAGATGGAGCCGGTAAACGTTCACCCCGACACGGCTGCAGCTAAACAGCTGCTGTCTTCATCTGTAGAACGTCACAAAATGACGTCTGTGCTCCAAAACAGGAATCTCCTCAGATTTCATCTCAGTTTGCTGTAGATACGAGTTAAAAACAAAATGTGATGAGGTTTCTTAGTCATCAGGTAGTTCATGTGGGTCAGGTCCTGGATGGATCTTTCTTCTGGGACTGAATCATTTCTACTGTTTTATAAACAACAAACATGAACATCATGAGCTGCTGTCAGACAGTTATCAGGATGTTGTCAAGTTAAAGCTAAAAGGGTGGAAGTTAGGAGCCGGCTGCTGATTGGCCGTCTACCTGCTGCACAGCCTGCTTTCAGAGGAACTGATGAGTTTCCTAGAATAGACCAGAAGAAGTGTTTTATGAGGTTTTTTTTCATTTGATGTTTTGCTGTAAAAAAAAAAAAACAAAAAACAAAAAAAAGTCTGTAAAACTGTAAATCAGTGGTTACTGAGGTCGACACGACCGTCGTTCAGCTGATTGTTGGACTTCCAGAGTTCACGTTCTTTAGGTTTAGTTTGGATTCTTGTTATTGACTCGTAAACAACCTGGGCTGTCTCTGATCTGAGCTGGTTCAGATGTCTGTCAGTATCATGAAGTCGTGTTTCATGTGATGCTGATCTGCAGGTTTAAAGCTCAAAGAAAACACATGAGTGAATTCAGCATCTTTGTCCTGTTGCTCTAAATCCAGTAGATTATACCGCTAGACTGTAGTTGTTATTACTGACGCCTTCATGTAGACGCAGGATGATGTTGTGGTCAAACAGACCTGAAACACAACCGGTACCAACGTGGACTGTTCAGGTGTGTCAGGTAGAGAACAGCTGACAGTGTGTCCTACCTGCTGCTACTGGATCCATCTGAATCTCTGTCTGTCTGTTTTTAGGCCCAAAATCCCAGAAGAAGTTCAAGAGGCTGATGCTGCACAGAATCAAGTGGGAGGAACACAACAGTAAAAGAGACGGTAGGGTTCTAGAGTCTGTCCGGGTCCAAGTGAGCAGTACCGGTAGCTGTTCAGAGGAAGCCTGGAATGCTGTCAGGCTGCAGAGTTGAATTACTGGAGCTGATGAGTTCTTACAGGTTTACTGACTGAGCCACTGAATGAGTTTTTCTTTTCCATGAATCCTTTGTTAGATCCAGACGGAGACGACGACACCAAGAGGAACAACAAGTGCTGGTTGATCTGGGAGGTGAGGTCCAGATGTTCTGCCTTCTGCTGCCTTCTGCTCCGCTCTCATCACTATTAGTGTTATTAGTAGTAGTAGGTTCCTCTGTCTCCCTTAAATGTACCATGTGAGCTACTGGACGTCATCAATGTCACTAACGGATGGAGAGAGTCTTCCTTCCTTCCTTCCTTCCTTCCTTTCTTTCTTTCTTTCTTTCATTCCTTTCATTCCTCCCTCCCTCCCTCCCTCCTTCACCATGAGCCTAATGTTCCCTCTCGGTTCTCTCCTTCCTTCCTTCCTTCCTTCCTTCCTTTCTTTCTTTCTTTCTTTCTTTCTTTCTTCCTTTCTTCCTTCCTTCCTTCCTTCCTTCCTTCCTTTCTTCCTTTCTTTCTTTCTTTCTTTCTTTCTTTCTTTCTTCCTTCACCGTGAGCCTAATGTTCCCTCTCGGTTCTCTCCTTCCTTCTTTCCTTCCTTCCTTCCCTCCCTCCTTCACCGTGAGCCTAACGTTCCCTCTCGGTTCTCCAGGGAACGGCTAAGGAGCGGAGCTTCGGGGAGATGAAGTTCAAGCAGTGTCCGACGGAGAGCATGGCCCGGGAGCACTTCAAGAAGCACGGCACAGAACACTACTGGGACCTGGCGCTGAGTCAGAGCGTGCTGGACACCACGGACGACTGAGGCTCCACCAGAACTCCCTCCTTCGGCCCCTTCCTTCCCTCCAGACCCAGAGCAGCCGGCCGGGCCTCGCTGCCCCGGCCCGGCCCGGCCCGCTGGGCTCCAGCCAACAGACTTGAACATAGAAGCGGAGGACGGACGACGCTGTGTGGATGCTTGTGGCGGATCAGGGTGTGTGTGGGTGTTCTAGGCTCCTGTCAGATCCTTTCTATGTGTGGTTGATACAGTCTGACGGACTCACCGGGACAAACGCTGTCCATTATGTTCCGACTGAAGCTTCGTGTCTCGCTGACGATGATCCAAACCGTTACCAGAAACAGCCATCAGTGGGAGAAGAACCTGAAGGACACCAGGGGAGGATGTTACAGGATTCATTTTAGTTTTGGAGAAGCGAGCAGATGTTTTAGTGAGCTGTAGCTGTTCCTCTGTAACATCACAGCCTTAAATAAACTCCATCTAACCGGCTCTGTGCGTTTGCTCATTACAGCCGCCCTAAGTCATCGTGAGCTGTAGAATCTGTCAGTTTGAGTCCTTGTTAGGAGACGATTCTGTGATTGCAGCTCATTAAATGTGAATATTTGTTGGTTTCTTTGCTCAGAACAGTTCCTGCTCGACCATCTCAGGTTTGCTTGAAACTTTTATAGTAAGAAATAAGGACGTCTGTAAAGTTTTAGCCTGATACATGAAATACTTTGGATAAATAAATAAATTAAAGCTTGTTGAGCCGCGACCAGCAGGTTTATTCTCTCATTAAATCTGAGTCTGTCTGAACAACATCTGAGGAGCTATTGAAGATCAAACCTGGAATGTTCTGTTAGTTCTCATCATGTCACTGATCCAGAACCTGTAGATCAATAATATTATGTTATGGTCGGATCAGACCATCAACTTGTCAGACCTGCTCAGTTATGAACACGTCTGTGACCCAGAGCTTCATCTGAAAGTGTTCTGATGTGTCGTCTGTGTTGCTGTGACCTGCAGCTACATGTGGGTCAGAACACGTCACTGGTTCTCTTCTGAAGCATCAGGTTTTAGTTCATGAGCTCAGAGATGGAACTTTTCACATTATAACTCATCAACAATCAGATTATTGATCTACAGGTTCTGGATCAGTGACAGGATGAGAACCAACAGAACACTCCAGGTTTGATCTTCGATAGTTCCTCAGATGTTCTTCAGACAGACTCAGATTAAACGTGATCGTAAACCTGCTAAAGTGGGTCGACTGGAGATAGTAACGATGAAACCTCTGAACGTAGTCGATGTCTCAATCTGAACTTTCACAAATATTGTTAAATGTTTGTGTTTCATGCTGAAAACATTTCAAGCAGATTTAGAAACGGCCGAGCAGGCGGCCTGGTGATTTCAGGAGGACTTTATCTTTTGGGCAGAAACAAACAGTGTTGGACGACATGACTTTCCTGCTGTCTCCATCACAGTTGCAACCGTTGGTTTGGACCGGTCCTTCAGTCTGACAGAACTACTGAACATTTAAAAGCCGAATATAAAGTGGATGAAGCATTTCTGTGAACTGAACCTGCCGACAGCTCATTAGTGGTTCATTCAGACTGTTTATTACAGAACATCTTCACAATCATTCAGTAAATTCAACTTAGTTTTTACACATGAAAGCAGCTGACTCTGCTGACCTTCACAATAAGAGCCTCTCCGTGGTTTCCCTGTGGGAAGCTTTTGACGTGAAACACCAGCAGCAGCATCAGCTGGTGTCAGCAGAACTTTAGCACCCAAGTCTGAAGTTATCAGGACTGATCTGCTGCTGTGAACTTCATCCTCCTTCTTGATTTTTCGTGTCAATAAATCTTCAGAAAATGGTGGAAAATGTCAATCAGTGTTTCCAGAAGTTTGCTCAAAAGCCCAAATGTTCACCAGCATTGAGTTGATTCTGGTTAGACCTGATGTTCACCTGCTGTAGACAAGAGTTAACTAGTTATGAGTTAGTTGCTGAGCAGAGGTTTGACCTGCTTCTGTAGATACAGCTGGAAGTATTAGTGGGTGTCTCCTGTCACATGGACGGACAACTGTTCAGATGATGAACCAGTTCTGTGAGTGCAGCTTCTACAAAGTGAGTGTTTCTGTTTTCTGTCCTCCTGAGTGGACACGTTTGGACACAACAGCTGACGACACTTTCCACTGTTTTCTGGTATTTCAGAGACCAAACGACTGATTGATTAAAAACAATTGATTATCCAAGAAACTAAATGACAGATTCTATCGTTAGCTGCAGCTTGATTTGAAATTGATCTACTGTAGATATTGGTTTGAAATGACATTTTATTTATAAACAGAGCTGCAACGATTAATCGGCAGTGAAATAAAAAAGTTCTGTTACTGTTCAGGCTCAGATTTACCGTCAGCCCGCCGCCAGTCCGGTCCGCGGTGCACCGGGGCGTGTTTCCCGGTCCTCCGCCTCCTTACGTCCGCTGCTCCTTCAGCCTCTTCATCGGCGCGCAGAGCTGCGAAGATGGCGGCCGGTTCAGGCGCTGCGAGCGGCCACGGAGCCCGCAGCTCCAACGCTGCGCTGGAAGCCACTTTGGACCGGCGGTTTCAGGGAGTATCCAACACCATGGAGTCGATCCAGGGACTTTCGAGCTGGTGCATCGAGAACAAGAAGCAGCACGGCCTGATCGTGCGCTACTGGATGAAGTGGCTCAAGAAGTGTGAGTAGCAGCGAGGCTAAGCTAGCTGGCTAGCTAGCTCCCTGTAGCTAACTGTGCTGCAGCGGTGCTCGGACGGAGCTCGGCTGCAGCTGTCGGTCGCTCCGGTCCGGTGCACAGCAGCTCCATGCGCTGAATAAATAGTTTAGCAGGTGAAGGTTGAACTTTAAGCCGCGACTTCTCTAGAAGCTCACCGTCGCGTTGTCATCGCTGCTTAAATTAGCCGTAATGAGCGCTAAGCTAGCAGCTAGCTGTGTTTACAGTCGGGCCTCCCGGGGTCCGCGGTTCGGACACCGACTCATGCTCGGTCCAGCGGGTGATAGAGACGGGTCACCGGTATCTAGTGGGTTTATTCAGCCTCGTGTCGGCTGGGGCGGTGGTTCGCAGCTGGACCGGTCGGTGAGCTAACGGTCATGGTTGGATCTGTGATGCTAACGGGTTTGAACGAGCTAAAGGAGCAGTCCGCTTCGTTTACGGTGTGTTTGGACCCAGTGGAGGCTCGGTCCGGTCCGGGCCGGACTCTGCATCACTGACCTGCTCCGTGTCTCAGATATTAACCAGAACAGTTGTTTTTCCTGCTTAAAGAGGCTTCAAGAGACCAGTTTAATCCATGCAAGGCTTCAGTCCACCTGATGGAACCAGACCTGAGCCTCTATCGGCACCAGAACCACTGGTTTCATTTATGAGGGTTATAGGTTCGAGATGAAAGTCCAGAAAAGGACATTTATTATTGTTTTGCATAAAAACCGACCCGAAATCATGCAGATTACAGA